TGGTTTACTGGTTCCATAAATCTATGGTCAGAAAAATCCATGGTTAAATTTATGTCCATGGCTCATGGACAGCCCCATGGTTTTTTTACCCAGGGCAAGCACCTGGTAAAATAACCAAATTTTAAAGCGACCTTTGTAATCCGTGGGGGTTCATGGTTGACACAACAGAATGCTGGGTTCCCTACTCGCTTTACCCGTACCCGTAAGACGACACGGCCGGTAAAGTGAGCAAACCCGCAGCGTTTGTTACTGTAGCACCTAGTAGTACCGAGATTTGCTAAGCTTTGAATATTCCCTCATTTTTCAAAATATAGAGATTTATGAGAGGTAGCAAATCTCGGTACAAGGCACCTGAAGCTGCCAGCCGCAGCCCAGGCCCAGCGCCAGGCGCAGCGCCCGACACACCGACGTCGACGGACGACTGGTTGTGCGCGTGTCCGTTGTGGCGGACCTCTCCGCCTTGACCTCGAAACAAGAGGCTGGGCGCCCTGGCCTGGCCCTGCACCCGGAGGCGTGGCGCCGCGCCGTCCAGCCCAGCCTCTTGCACACCAGGCGGCAGGCGAGGGAGTCCACGACGGGCACGCCACCAAACGGTGTACGTCGTCGACCTGAGCCCGGGTAGGGTGGTCCATAAAAACGCTTTTGTTAAAATATTGAAATGCTTGTTGACTGTATGGTGTAGTTTGGTGTGTAATGGCCTCCAATTTTTTTTCTGAATTTTTGAACGCGATTTGACCCTGCCGAAATGGCCTCGAAGTTAACATGGGATTCTCATGGGTAATTCTACTAAGAGCAATAAATTTGGCCTGGAGCTCAAAATATTTTACAGGCGTTAGTGTACCACGCAAAATCGTGATCTACTCTAAAATCCGATTCAGAAAATGTGCCACATGCAGTCGCAACACGTCGCGTTTCCATAATAATATGGGCATATATTGGCGTTTTAAGCGAAGTTTGAGTGAGTGTTCTATCGAATAACTCGAGTTATTTTTACAAGTGTCTGTAATTTTACAGACTATGGTAATTTTACCAGACTTTTACTTGGCACTAAGTATACCTAGACTTTTCCTGTAAAATCTCCCCCAAATTTTTAACAGTGTGGCGCCCAAACGGTTTGAGATAGAGCCAAACGGACAAAATTTTGGCCCGTTGGGTTCTACTTTGTCGAGAAACCTTTAAGAAAGATGTAAAATAATCTGTTTTAAAAGAAATGTTTTAGGCTTCTTGTTTTTGATTTTTTTGACACGTCAATTTTTGAGCCAGAGGTCTCAAAATCAATACAGTTCTTCCTTTTTAGGATACAAAGTTCCAAAAAAAATTGAGCATTCTACCTCAAACCGTTCTCGAGTTATCGTATCGTGCGAACAGACAGACAGACAGACAAACAAACAGACAGACGCGAAACTTTTTGATCATCACTGGAGTAATAGGCTTCGCTATCGCTCAGCTAATAAGCTTTATGACCATGACTCTATTAAACCAGTTGTCAGGAAGGTTAAGCAGATTTTGAGTACGGTGAATGGTAAGTTAATGTGAATCATTATTCGGTTCCGGCGATGTGTATACCATCCGTGCATCCGCGCTGCTAAAGCAAATGTTGCGGGTTTGCCTAACTACCTGGCCCTCAGGCGCCATACGCCGTGGTGACTTACGACCAGATAGAGTTGGTATAACTGCAACACTCCGCTATTTGCACAAATCATAGCATGCACACACCCTTTAAATTTAATTTAGTCCTAATTTATTTTCAGTTAGAGGTACCGCAGTTTTTAGAACACTTTCTCCCATTTATTGCAGCTTCATCAAGTCTCCGTGCAGACATGTTCAGTACAGCAAAAGCCATGAACAGGGAGTGCGTCGAGATTCCGCTCACTTGCAAGACCCGATGGTGAACACTTCTGCGAACCGCTGTGGCTGTGAACAGGAATCTCCCGCAGCTGCGCATCGTACTTGCCAAGGAGAGAAGGACTTTGGACCGCAGGTGGCCAATGAATTACTCCCACCTTATACCCACCACCGAGGAGGAGGTCATGCTGCAACTACTCTTGAAGATTCTATGACCTCTACAAGATGTGACAGAAGATCTGTCGAGTGAACCCTGTCGCTGGGAGTGCAATTCTTCCCCTAGTATCTGTGATTGACAAGTTACTGAAAGAGGCCGTGGAAGAAGCAGCGCAAACTCCCGATTTGGACGATATTGACAATAAAATACCGCGATATCTCGATACCACGATATGCCTCGATATCACGATATGCTTCGATATCACGATATGTCTCGATATCTCGATATCACGATATGCCTCGATATCTCGATACACCTCGATATTATCGCGATTCGATATATCGAGGCGTATCGCGATATACGGGTGATATCGTATCGCGATATTGAATTATTGATATCTCACAGCCCTAGTCTATCCTCTTTCTGGGCACACCAATGGCTGGCACTGCCACTGCCAATTACACTTGATAATGGCGCCACCGGAAGGAACTGTTACCATCGTCCTTAACTAACCGTCGTACTCTCCCCGGAAAAATACACTCATCTCTCGTTATTACCCATGATGACGTACCGAGGCGCTCGTGACGTCACACCACCTGGCCACCGCCGTCACTCAGGGCCCGATAGCCCATGAGCCTGCGATAGAAGTTGGGCAGCTAGGTGAGCGGCTCATTCTGCGCCCAACCAGCGACGAAGATGTCTCGCTCCGCTACCCTCGTCGTCCTGCTGTGCCTCGCGGCGGCGTCCTGGACGACGTCGTCCGCGGCCAGAATCGCGGAGAGCAATGGCATCTCGGCCGAGGTCGCCGAGGTAGAGCCCCAGGTCGAGCTGGCTGAGAACTTGGTCGCCTTCTCCCAAAAGCCCCTGGGATGGGGCGCGTCGAGCACCTCTAGGTACAGGACAACCACGCCGAAGTACACCACGAGGAGGCCGACTACGAGGAGGACGACTACGAGGAGGCCCTCAACAACAACGTCCAGGTCTCACGACCAGAGCATCACCTGGGGGGGCGTGTACCCTTATGACAAGTGAGTAAAGCAGGGTATTGAATGAAGTCTTTCAAGATGTTGTATCAATGTAATGGAACGTCAGAGTCTGGTGTTTGCAAAGGAAAGCTGTGCATGAGATCACTCATACTCAAATACTTATTACCAAGCTTGTAATTAAGCGAAATGTGATGAGCAAACCGTAGATGATGTTTTCTGAGCGGACAGTTACTAACGGCATACTGCCGGTCTGTCGTCTTCGCAGCGTCGGCTGTCTAAATAAGAAGAAAACGATCGGTACACTTTTGACGAACATGACTTCAATTGCAATGAGCTTTTCTTTTTTTTTCAGGCAACTCGAATCAAAAACGGTGTACAAGGCGGCAACCTACTTGCGGGTCAACACCGAGACGGTGAGCATCAGCTCCCCGTACGCCACCATCCACTGCATCCAGGTCGTCGACCAGCTGCGGACCGGCAAGAACGCCGCCGTCACAGTGAATGTAGGCATGGGACAGCGCAGCGCCAGCCTCAAGTTCGAGAGCAAGCGCGGGGAGAAGATCAGCTACCTCCTCATCGTCTGGGGCAAATAGGCGACGCCAATCTAGCAAATAACTCATGTTTCCTAGAACTGAAAACGGAAAAAAAACATCCATGTACGTGATTTCCAAAAATTCTTA